ATATTACTAAATATTTTTTAAATAATTATCAGATTTTTGTATATAAAAAAATTGGTTTTAAATTTTTTAAATTTTTATGAGTTTTTAAAAATATACTAAAACTAGTACAAAAGGATGTGGTGATATAGTGAAGTAGTCAAGTTATCACCCCAAGCAGCAGGTTAAGAGTTTGAATCTTACTAGTGATGAAAATTTGAAAATTCTGTTTGTATTATGGCTAACTGTATTTGATTGATCAGTTAAGATAGAATACTTGTAACTATAATTGTATTAGCAAGACTGAGAGATCTAGAGCATTTGTGTAATATAATATTATACAAAGAAATACAAACTGATAATAGAGTGTGCAAACACAAAATAAGCTCCTGGGCTGTATAAACTTGAAGAACTGCAAATATAGAAGCCCACTTGACAAGTTCTGAGTAGAGAGATAGCACAAATCTTTAATAAAGCTATTATAAAGATTAGACCCAAAAAACAGAACTCATATAAACTGAACTAGATGAAATACAGGGTGTTAGGGTTGTGCTCACTATAGAAAAGAGAACTAGAAATATAGCTAGAGAGCTTCTGCAATTGTAGACAAGTTATGGAAATGGTAGAAGACCTACTAGCTATCTTTTGGGGGTATCTGTCTAAATACAAAAGAAAAGTACACAGTTAACGAACCATCTAGCTTAGAAGTCAAAAACCAGGATTGGGGCCTCTGCTATTAACGAATAAGTAAAATTGCCAATATCAACTAGACTGCTATTGAATTAGAGAAAAATAAGTGATTACATACCAAGCTATCTGGATTGAAAGTCTGGGTAAAGGAAGCTAGGTTACTAAAGTATTGGGAATATATTGTGATATAAGTTCTGGGATTTGAGTGAACTTTACAAGGGCAAAAGTAGCTTTGGGTAGTAAAGTTTAGCTAAACTGGAGTTAAATCTAGATATATTAAAAGCTGAGTAAAAAACTATAGGCAAGGTCTTCAACCAGCACTATACATACTCTCAAAATAAGTAAAACTAAGCTGCAAGTAGTAGGCTATGATCTGTATATACTAAACTAAAGCACAGGCTAAATGCGATATAAAGTAGGAATACTGCAAGCTCTGCTAGGTTTATCTTGAGAATAAAGTAGTCCTAAATTAGTTATATAAAATGAGTATCTGTGAGACTGGTTCTTAAAACTGGAAGAAGAGTGCCAATTGATATAGACCTTGGAGTATATAGATGCAAATAAAGTACGAGATGGGCCAGGTCAGGTCAGGTTTAGATAAACTCGACCTAAGCTTATTTAAATCTAATCCGAGCTTGAGCCTGATAAAAATTTTATAACAAGTCAGGCCTAGGTCGGGTCGGATTAATCCAAAACCTGACCTGACCTAACCAATCATTTTACATAGTACATAATCATGTAGCAGTTTTGCCACCAACTAATAATTAGATACAATAGTATATACCAGGAATATAGTGAAATGAAGTATATAGTTTATAGCCAACTAACTGTATACAAAATCTTGGATCTTATTAGGCAGCATGATCTTGTTATGTGAAAATTATTTTGTAAAGATCTACAAGTTTTAACTTGTATTAATTTGGTATGTATTACTCTAAATAGGCTTAAAGGTTATTGATCTGAGAAATCAGAATATTTTAAATACAATTTGAAAAAATTATATTTATATTATATACGTATATATATACAAGATTCTATTGCTATTGAGTTTTATATTAATATTTATGCTAACGCTAACTTTTTTTAGTAATTAATTTAGATCAAGCTTGTGTTGTACATTCTGATCACACCTAAAATTTAAAATATAGATTATGTTTTACTACTATTGACAATCAATTTGAGCATTATTTATTAGCAAGCATCCAAACTTAGTTTTGTAAACTGATCTAGGAATAGCTCAATGGAGATGTTATACTGTAGTCTGTTCTAAACTGATAAACTACAGTTAGCTTTAAAACTGGGCTGAACTTGAAAAAACTGCTTTTAGTTTTAAGACCAGACTAGCTAAAACTAGTCTGAACTAGTTAATTCTTTAAGATTTTGAACTACTAAAAGTAAACCAGAACTGAACTGGCAGGACTGTTAGGATCTTCATGATTTAATCTGCTTTGGTTTCTGATAAAACCAGTTCATTAATATTTTAACTCCAACCGTGGTCTGATTTCGGTTCCAAAACAGGTCTTAGTTGTATACAGATATTCTTTCTCTAAGTCAAAGCTAGACAACCAATGTTTAATAACTCTGTAAAACAGAACACAAAACATTAAAATGTTTATAAATTTTGGTAATAAGTTTAGTTTATAACTCCCTATCTTTAATTTGGTTCTAACAACACGTTATTGTATAATACTATAGGTTGATCAGGCTTTGATGGGTTAATAAACAGAACCTGAACCTGACCTGATACTTTATTAGGCCCAGCTCGAGCTTGACTCGATTTATAGCAGGCCTAAAATTTGGGCCTGACCTGGAGTCTGATCTAACCCAATCTGCAAAAATTCGAGTTAAACTTGGCCCATTCCATACCCTAGATGCAGAGGGTTTAAATAGGTAACTTCTAGTTGAGTTGCAGGTATAGCAAATAGTATAAAATCTAATAATATTATTTGATATATATAGAATTACATGACACATCACATGTTACATTTAATTTAAATTAGATTATATTAATTAGTAAGTTCTAAAATATTTATCAAAATTATTAATTACTAAAAATTTTACTATAATAATCGATTTAGCTTATTAAGACAAAAATATTTTTCTACTCAAAATAGGAGATTTACTAATATATAGTAACAGGTTTCTGCATTAATTTTCAAGATTTTAGCTTCCAAATATAAATGTTCTCTATACTCACTTATTAATTGTTAATATAAAAGATAAATAATAATAATCATAAAATATAATGATAATATAATATAATAATAATTATATAAAATATAAAAATATATAAAAAAATAAAAGAAAATAGAAAATATTAAAATTGATAAAATTTTGTAATACTACAATAAACCAAATTTATTACAATACTCTCTTTACAAAATATACTCTTTTATCTTATAATATCTAAAAAAGATTTATTTTTCAAATAGATAGAAGTGTAGCAGATTTCTGGAAACAAAAAACTAAGAATTTATATTATTTATATGTATAGCACTAAACAACTACAAATTAGAATTTCAAAGTTCTCAAAGAAAATAAACTTTGTGCTAAGAACTAAGAATTAATAGATATAGATCTAAAAACTAATACAATTAAGTTTATAGATCTAATTATTAAAAAATTATAAGAGGAGAAAGAATAATATAATCAAACCAAAAGCTAAAAAGAAAAATCATTACTTGTTCTAACTAAAATAAAAATTAAAAAATCTATAGCTTAACTAGTCATTTACAAGACAATACAGAAAAGAAAATATATAGTTATAGAAGATAATAAGAAAGAAACCAAAGAAGAACCAGAATCTAAATATCAAAAAAATAATGCAAATAAAATTATAGAAGCAATTTGAATAAATTTGAGAAGAGATTCTAGAAAACTTTGAAGATAAAAAAGTAGAAAATAAAATAATTCTACTATATACAGAATACAGAACCTATAACCAAAGTACAAAAAGACAAAGATCTTATACTTTTAAGATATAATAAAAAATAATAGAATTGGTTTAGGCCACAGATAAATTAGTCTGAGTTTTTTTTCTTGCTATCTTAGGATAAAAATTTAAACAGATTCTTTTTTTGTAAGGATTTTTTTTATTGTATAAAAATTAAATTAAATTTTAATAAAATCAGAAATATGGTCTTACCATTAATATTCAAAAAAAATAATAGAAATTCTTTCAAAAAAGAAAAAAAAGAAGGATACTATTATATATAAAGATATATATAGATTTAGATAAGCATCCAAAGATATCTACAAAGAAATTTGAATTTTAAAAAACAGATCTAAAGATAAACACTAAAAACAAAATATTTAAGAACCTAATTAAAGAAGTAAACAAAGACTCAAACCAGAATATAATTTAATACTTGAAATCTACTATTAGCTATTTGATTTAATAGAATTAGAAGATGTCTTAACTTTTATAATAAGACAAAAGTTCTAAAATAAAAAAATTCACAACAAATGATTAAAAAATCTAATACAGTCTATATACAAATTACATATTAGAACCTAGAAAAACTTAAAATATTATAAAAAGTTAGATAGTTCACTTTAAAAAAAGAATTATATATAAATAACTTCAAGCTACTTTGACAAAACAGAACTGAAAAACAGAAAAAATATAAAGCTAAATTGCAAACCTTTTTTCTAATATATTTGATTCATTATAGTATATATAAAATTAAAAATAAAATTAGTAAAAAAATATTGATTTTATTAATATAGAGTAAAATCAAGAAATAGATAGGCTAGGTAATTATATTATTAATATAGTTAAATATTACAAAAATTAAAATCTTAATATTTATAAAGATAAAACTTTGCTACAGAATTTGATATTAATATATTACTTTATAAAATTAATATTTAAGAATTTTACTAACTATAACTGATGATGACAATCACCGGTATCACGTGATGCATCAATTACTATGATGTTACATGAAAATTTTTAACCAAAATTTTTTAATATAGAATTTACTTAAATATGGTACTATGGCTTACAATAATTTATTAGCTATGCAAGACTATACATAGCTATATGCTATTATATACAGTATAATTTGTGTTGCTTTGCTTATGCTCAGCAACATGTAGAAGGTGAACAAAGCAAACCCTGTAATTGCTTCGCTTCGGCTATCGACTCCGCTTTGCTCATTTTTTCTAAATGTTCAATATAATCTAACCTTAATTCTGAACTCTAACCATAACCTAAATCTATTTTTCTTAGTTAATAAACCCCAACTACAATGTCATGACAATCAAAGTTCAACACAAATAGAATGATGAACAAAGTGCTAAATCTAGCCAATACAAACTCAGCACCAACAATGAAAGTATTTAGTAATACACCGAAAAAGGAAAGCATGATGGCCACCTATCCTGAACTGAAAAAAGTTAGTCCTACTCAAACACAGCATTGAAAGCAAAAAAAAAAAATACTTAGCTATACAGTTGTCACCAATAATGAAAGCAAATACACCGAACTTGACGGCACCAACGATACAAGAAAAAACACAAACCACTAAGTGAACAAAATCTACGACACAAAAAAAAATATAATCTACAAAAAATACCAAGCTGGACGATATCAACAAAAGGCACCAACTGGTAAAAAAAGCACTGAATCGGATGACACCAACAAAGCAAGACCAATGATGAAAGAAGCACCAACTGGATAACACTATCAATGCAAGAAAAAGTACCAACCAGTGAGAAAAGCACCGAACAAAGTGAAGCAACAATTGGATGATATCAACGACACAAGGCACCAGTCTACCGAACAGGATACACCAAACAGCAAAAAAAAAGGACACCAATTGACAAAAGAAGCATTGAACTGGATGACACCAATGACGAACCTACTACCCTAAAAGAGAATAAATATGAATATTAATATTAATAAAAAAATAATGAAAGCAAAAAAAAAAAGTGAAAAAAAAATGAATTACTTATTTTTTTTATATCCATCTTGTATAACCAGTGATGATCACTGCTGGTGATTTGAAGTAAATACCAATATTTAATATATAATTATAGTACAAATATTTTTAAACCAACAACTTTTTAAAAGTAGCTAAATTTAAAACAAAAAATACTAAATTTTAATTAGCTAATAGTTTAAAATTTTATAAATTTTATTATATTTTTATATATATATGATAAAATTTTTATTTTATTAATAACTTCAAAAGAATATAACTCTATTAAATATTAATTAACTAAAAAAATAAACTTGTAACTTTGTTTTTTAGGTTTTATTTATTATTTTATAAAAAAAATTAATTTATAACTATTTTAGTTTGAATATTGTTAAATATCACAAGTTGCTATATTGCAGATTAATATGATTAACCAATTAGATTACAGGATTTTGTGTAATAAAAATGAATGAAAAATTAAAAACAATTAAAAAAAAAACTATATCTCAAAATTTCATTATGTAAACTAGTCTTGGGCTTCTAATTAAAAGTTTTTAACACTTAATTTTGCATATATATATGCCTTCTAATACTAGCTTGAACCCTAACCCTAATAATAATTTTAATTATTTTTTTAAAGATATATTAACCTACAATATTACAACCTACTAAATTTAACAAAAATCTTTAGTTTTTATTTATAAATTTTTAAAAATTATATATTTTATATATTAGTTGCCTATATTGTAGAAATTATATTAATTTTAGTACTATAATTTGGTTGATTAATTTTGTTAAAAAAATTATTTATTTAATAAGATTCAAGAATTTTTTAATTTGTATATAATATATTAATTTTATTTTTATAATTGTATTATTAATTTTTACAACTATTTATAGTCTGTAGTTAAACTGGTTTAGTTAAATTTTTCAAATTCTAAGTTTCTATATAGGATGTAATATATTTAAAAAATATAATAATTCTAAAAAAAATATAAATTTTTATTATTAATTATTAAACATGTTTGTATTAGAAATATTTAACAAATAATATTAAAAAAGTTTATTAATAGCTTTATCTAATAATTGTTACAAATTAAAATAAAATCAGATTAAAATAAAATTAGAAACCTTTCTTGCTTACTCTTAAAGCTTATAAAACCCACATATATTTCTTTATTAATAACTTTAACCCTAAATTTGACTCCTAAT